ACGGTACGTGGTTGCCCCATCAGGGTTCAAAACAACCCTTTTCATCATCTCTGCTCTCTGGGACCTCTGCTCACCACTGAAGCATCCTCTGCACTTGAAGCAAGAGCATAAAGCACAAGGTGTCTCCAGGCACAAAGAGCCATGTTTCCTAAAGAAAGGACATCATTTATAGAACACTCCAAGTAACAGCTCCATCAGCAGTAAAGAGCACTTGGCTTTCTGCTGGTCTGCGCAGCTGCCCCCGACAGACCCACAGCACAACAGGAAGGATGGAAATGTCAAACAGAATTTGAGTTTCCACTGTTACCAAAGAGTGCTGGCCAGCCTTTGGGCCCTGCCAACTTCACTCAGGAGTTCCAGGTGCCAGCCACCTCGGCCAAAGCAGCAACTGGGTTTGGACTCTGGGATACCCAGAAACTCTCCTGCCCCTCTGCAGTTCATCAGCCCAGTGCACAGCAGAGGCCTCACCTGGGCCATGGATTTACTGCCTGTGAGTAGATCAAACCTACAGTGAATCCACAGCAGCTTTAGATTTGTCATGTCCTGATCCCTTTGCCTTCTCCAGGTTTTGTTCTAACCTGTGCTCTGGCTCACTGCAAATACACCAGGCCACGCTGGAGCCTCTTTGGTTGTTCCTGGTTGCTTTTCTTTTTCCCTTTCTGTTTTTTTTTCTCCTTTCTCCCCTGCTAATCCAGTCACCTCCCCTGAAGTGGCCAAGGTTGTTATTCCTGCCAAGGGAGTGAGAGCACACAGAGCCTTCTGTCTGCAGAGCACTCACCCTGGCCCAGGCACAAGTGGGAGCTTTTCTTAACTTTGGTTCCTGCTGTTCAGAAGCCACCAGCAGTGAGGGTTTTGGCCATGGAAGTGTGGTAAGAGAAATGCCCAACGTAGAGAGAGATTTGCAATTTGAAGTTGAAATGTTTGAGGGAGATGGGGGGACCAGGGTGGGGGGATCAGAGCCCGCCAGCAGCAGTTGAATGGTGTGGGGGGCCAGGGGAGCCTCGGGGGCTGTGAACCTGCTGGAACTGTCTGACTTGAACAGTGGGGTTTTCAACGTTGTGAAGGAGTTGCAAGGCAGGGTTGGGTGTTTTTGGGGTGTTTGGTGGAGCAAAGAGCCTGTCAAGGAATGGAGAGGCCTGGAGACTACTCAGGGACCCTCCTCACCCTCTGTCCCCCCAGAGCTCTGTCAGGCCCGTTGGAAATTTGTCTTGTCCAGCAAGGTCAGCGACAGCCTTGAGCTTGTCCTGAGTGTGTGTGGAACATCAGGGCCAAGAGAAGGTGTGGACTAAGCAGCAGCACTGTTCCTGCAGCTGCTCTGGGACAGTGCTCCGAGAAGGGGCTGCAAACAGCCAGGAGTGCTGGGGCAGTGTGTCTGCAGCCAGGGGGGTTCACGCTGAGCAGCTGCTTTGGGGGGGTTGGGACGGTTTTTTGGCAAAGCTCTAGGGCTTGCCAGGTGTGCCAGAGAGGAGAAACTCAGCCTGTGACAGTTCATGGTTCCAGCTTTGTTCCTTCTTGAGGAATTGCTTCAGCCTCAGTCAGAAGGACTCCCTGTTTGCAGGCTCAGTGTTTTTGCCCACAGCACAGGGTTGGTTCTGAATTGCACATCAGGACCTGGGAAGGAAGGGGGAGGTGAGAGGGTGAGTCCTTCACTCATCTGAATCAAACTCCCATCCTGCCTCCCAGAGTGCTTCCCTTTTTACTGCCAGCAGTCTATGTTACACTGTTCTTGTTCAGAAGTTGGTTCTGGAATGCTGATAAAGGGAAGAAATCCTCTCCAGCCTTCTGCAGTAGGATGGGATAGGAGGGTAATGCCTCCCGTTGTCCTGCTGCATTTTCTGGTGTGTTTTTAAGGCTCACATCACCTGGGCAGCTTTCTGCTTGAACCATGTTTTTCCAGGCTCACCTGAGAGTGTAGGATTTGAGGTCTTTGAAAGTCACATTTGTATCATACTTGTGCCACAGGCAAAACAGAACCCTGTGGTGAACCTCTGGTTTAGCAGGGGGACTGTGTATGGCAGAAATTATTTGGGCCATGCCAAATGAAGGATTTAATGCTTATTGGGTGTGCTGCAGTGATGGCCCCATGCACCAAAGAAAGAATGACGATGGAAAGAAGAAATGATCAGGAAATGGGCACTTGGAGAACTGGAAACAACCACAGCACTGGCCTTTTGCCATAACCCACATTCTTCTACTTCAGCCCCAACTCCTGCTTCCTAGAGAGACCAGCAAGCAGAGGCTCCCCTGTCTGGGCACGTGGATTTTGTGTGAAGACAGCTGTAAGGATGTGCCAGATGTAAATGTCTGCTCCGTGGCACAGGCTGTGGTTGTGATGCCCTTGCAGCAGGGCGGTACCGGAGAGGGTGGGAGGGCAGCGAGGAGGAGCAGCAGGGCAGAGCCAGGCGGGGCTGGCACCACAATCACTCCTCGCTCGGGGGGCTGCTCATCTCCTCCTGCCAAAAGGAGCTTTCTTAGCACCTTGTTCTCACACCTGTGAGTCTCTATTTGACAGCCTGGAAAATTAATACCCAGCCAAGGTATGTAGCTGTGCTTCCATCATGTCAGTGCACCCTCCACATCTGTTTGTGGCAGTTCATGAAGAGATCCCAGTGCACAGACTGCTAATTTTTCAGATCGCCCGGGATGCTGTGCAGAATGTTGTGCTGCCAATTGATCAGTATTGTGGTGGTTCTGTAACTGAAGGACCTTAAATGAGGGCTGTGGACAACTGAAACTAAAGGCATTATGTTGTATCACAGCTCCAAGGATAATCTTTGAGCCTTAAAATGTTTGTGTTCCCTCTAAAATATAGCACTTAAATAAATACTTGGGTTGTCGTCTTCTAAACTGGATCCAGGTGCAACACTCATTTAATTGAATGTGTCTTTTCATCTCCACGAGGCTCTCCCCACACTCAGGTCTAATCTTACCTTGGTGATTACACTCAGCTGATTGCCATCACCTCCAGCCCCGGGCACAGCTGCCGGCTCCTCTGCAAAGGCACAGGGAGCCGGGGCAGGTCTGACCTGGTGTTGGTGTCCCAGTGCTTCTGGTCATGTAATTCCTGCCCCGTGAGGTGCCTCAGCAGAGGAGCTGCCAGATTTACTTGTGTGCCTTTGGTGGCACTTTGGAAGGTACCAGCCCGTACGTGAGTGTGCCAGGGGCAGAGACTGAGGGCAGAACTGTCCTGAGTTCCTGACATTTGGAAAGCAGTTCATGACCACACCTGTGTGTTTATTTTAGTGAGCACTGCCAGGTGTGCTGTCTCACCTGACCCTGATTTATATTAATGGAATCTTTCTAACAAGAAAAGGAGGGGGGGTAGTGAAATAAAATGCAGCATTACCAGTATGTAAAGGTACGGGAACTGAAGTGTGCAATTCCCACCGGAATGTGGTGAGGCTGGAGAGAAAAACCTTAACTCAGGATAGGACTGGGAAGTGCTCCCACTATGACACTGCCTCACTCTGTGGCCTTGGTCAAATCACTTACTGCTGGTCTTTATTTCTCCAACAGGGTATAACCCTTCAATTGTGAGTTCTAACACAGTGGGAATCAATAACTTATTCACATGTGCTGTATAGCATGTCCTGGGTACCACTCTTAATGAAGGACAAATGAAATTAGTTGCTTATTTTGCAGGTTGATGTGTAAGGTGTTCTGAATTCAGAGAGCATTCCATGTGCTGTTCCTGTTTCATTACTGTATGTATGGGGGTCTCCACTGCTGTGAGAAAAAGGACTAAAGTGCTTGATACTTTAATATTTTAGTCACAGTATTACCTAATCAATATTGTAGACTGTACCTGTTGTTTAAGATGCAAAGGCAGCAAAATTTCACGTGAACTCAAGTGGTAACTTAAAACTAGGAACCCCTCTTAAGTATCAAAGTGAAATTAAATAAAAGGCTAATACTCAACTTGCATTTTTTTCCATTGCAGTCAAAATAGGTGTGTCTGGTTTGCCTTTTATTTGTTAAACCATATTGTTGATTCTGAAATGGAATAACAGAAGTTTCCTCCAGTCCCCAGTGCAGTAACTTGGGCCGTGGTGCACGTGTGAGGATGTCACAGAGAAACAGGGCTGCAGGACTCCGAGCTGCCCTGGAGGTCCTGCGAAAAGGGCTGTATATTGTAAGCTCCCCCACTGGGTAGGTGTAGGCTCCTGCCTCGCCTGTTCCTGTCGCCCTCCCGCTCTGCAAAAGGCTGTGTCTGGTGCGTTCCTGCCTTCCCTTGCGTGCCCGGCATCTCGGCAAGTCCGGAGCCATCCTGAGATGAGGCAGCCTCCTCCTCTTAATGGGCATCTGAAGGTAAAGCATACTTTTAGACGCTGTTATTAATAATCTGATAATGAAAACAAATCAGACGGGCTGTTGCAAGCCCTAAGTGATTCCCATATCCAGTGTAGAGAATTAAACTGGATGGATTGCGTTGGGAGCGAGTTTCACTCCCGGGCTCCGGCTGAGCCCCCGGGGCCGTTCCCATTGTCCCTTCCCCACCGGCCCGGCCCGTCCTCCCTTCCCTCGCTCCCTTCCCGGCGGGGCCCATCCTCCGTCCCTGCCTGCCCGCGGTGCCGCATCCCCGCCGAAGGTGCGCTCCCCCCTCCCGGCACCTGCCCGGGCCCGGGGCCGCGGCCGCGCGCCCTTTATGGCCGGTGCGCGCTCCCGGTGCGTGTGTCTGTGTGTGGGATGCGGGGAGCGGGCGGGAGCCGGTGCCGCTCCGAGCGAACAATGGCAGCGTTGGCGCTGCCCGGCACCTCCTGAATGGGCGCAGGCCTGGGGGGGCGGCGGCGAGCGGGAGGAGGAGGCGGCGGCAGCAGCGGGGCGAGGCGGGAGCCGCCCCCCCCATCCTCCCTCCCGCCCTCCGCCCGTCCCTGCGCAGGGACGCGGGGCCGGGGGGCCCGTCCGTGGGGCGGCGGCGGCGGGGGAAGGGGGAAGGGGCGGGGGCCGGGCGGGAGGCGGGGGCCGGGGGCGGGCGCGTCCACCTGCGCGCGCCGGGCCCCGGGCGCATGGAGGAGCCGCGCTGAGCGCCGCGGAACCGGAGCGCCCGCCGGGCGGGGGGAACCCCCTCCAGCGCGGGCCCCGCGCTCAGGTGAGTCCCGCCGCGGCCGAGCCGCATCCGCACACCCCCCCGGCACCGCGGGGGCAGCGCGGGAGGAGGAGGAGGAGGAGGAGGAGGAGGGGATGCTGATGGCAGGATGGCAGCGCCGGCCTGCGCGGAGGCCTGCGGGGAAGTTGCGGGGGGGGTGTGTGTGTGAGGGTGGTCTGAGGTTACGGGGGGGGCGGCAACTTGGCGCCGTATCCCCCCCCCCCTCCCCGGGCAGGTGCCGCGCTGGGCGGGGGCGCCGCCCCGCCGGGCCCGGGGGCAGCGGGTCCCCTCCGGGGCCCCCTCACTCCAGCCTCGGCCAGAACAAAAACATAATAAAAGGAGGGGGGATGGGGATTTTTATTTTTATTAAAAAAAAAAAAAGCCCGAGCTCTGGGAGTAGCTGTCACTGCGCGCATTAAACTAGAGAACTGGCTAATCAAATAAAACTGGCTCATTGTCTGAAACTCTATCCCAGCGCAAAATGCGGCTGTGAATGTAATTAACCATCTGTCTGGCGGGCGGCGGAGCGCCGGGTCCGTGCGGTCGGTACCCGGGCGCTGCCATCCCCGAGCCCCGCGATGTGCCCGGTGTGTGTGTGCGAGGAGGATGCTGGAGCGAGGGGGGGATGAGATCCTCGGCTCCGCGATGAGCGAGCGAGGCACTGTGCGATAGATGAACCCAAAGAAGCCGTGAGGGACCGGCGATGAACGCCAGGGCGATCCGTTTGCTCTCGGGGATGCTCCCGGGGGTTCCGCCTCCCGCCGGGGACCCGCGCAGGATGGGTGCGTATTTGGGGGCTCGCGGCCGTGGGTGGATGCGTGAGGCCGGAGGGAGCGGTGCGCCTGTGCGAGCCGAGGCCTCAATGAGCCTTTTGCGGGAAAACAAAACGGCTCTGTGGTCTTTCCACCCTCCCGGAGGTTTTCCCCGCTTCCGCCCGGCGCGTTGCTCGTCCCTCCTGCCCCACGCCGGCCCCGAGAGCTCCGTGCAGCCATCAACATCCTGGTACTCCGGGCCGGAGGTACCTGCTGGGATCGCTGCTACGGCGGGACTGCGGTAACACCGAGCCCACGGCAGGCTCTGCTGGGAAGGGGCTCGGCTGTGGCTCTACACACGCTCGTGCTTCTTGTTTGTCTTTTTTTTATTATTTTTTTTTGGTGCGGTTTAGTAATGGAATAATACAGAGACTAAAAAAAATAACGGCAGCACTCAAGCAGGTAGGATGCAATTTAAAGTCACTCCAGCTAATACCCCATGCAAGACTGCATTTGTTAAGGTATGTGAGCTGTGCAGAAGGCAGCAGTCTTTAGTGAATCACTTTTGAAAAACAAATACTTGACAAAAAAACCAGACCTGCTAAATGGATAACAATTATGTAAGCCTGTAGTAGGTTTTGATGTATGTCAGGTCTGTTAAATAAATCAACCTGTTCAGTGAATAAATCTGCTCTGCACCAATGCTTTATTATTATTTTTTTAGGGAGAATAAACCTGTGTATTTAAGATGTTTTCACTGATGTGAATCTCATGGCCAAGCCCCGTAGCTGCCAGTGACACAAGACGAATCCGTGGGGAGGGTGGGGTGCAGGAGCGTGGGGAGGGAAGGGGCACGCCAAGTAATAAGGTGGATATTAAAAATACACAAAGATGTGCATAAGGATTCCTAGTGATCAAATTCTCACTGATCCATGTCTTGATGGAGTATTTGCTTTGCAGTGGCAATGGCCCATACAAAGCTACATTGATTTAGCTTGCTCTGTTCACGATGGCAGTTCTGGTGAATAATTATTTTCCCAAAAGCCTTAACCAAGGGAAGAAAGAGAGTCCCTGCTTGGCCTACACAGTAGTACAGTATCTTTGAAAGCGCATATCCGGCTGCAAATAAAGAGAGCCAGTTCAAGTGTTACTCCACTCAGCAGGAATAAAAGGGAGGCAGAAAAGGGGAGCACCCGGCCGGCTTCCCCGAGCTCCTCAGCCCCTTTCCCTTTCTGCACCTCACCCTCTGCTCGGCTTTGGGGGCGGGGAGGGGGGATTTCTCTGGTTTTGTTTTTGCTTTTTTGTGTTTGCTGTTGCCTTTTGGAGGCGAGGCTCCAGCAGTCCACTTAAATGTTGAGTTCTGAATGCTGAGGAGTCTCTTTCAGATTGAAAAATAGGGAAAAGATTGTGGCCAGTGGGTTTTAACTTCTGTAGCTGGGACAGGGAGTATGTCTGGGTAGGGCAGGGCCTTGATGGTGTCCTCCTCTTCTGAGATGGTGAGGCCTCATGGATGTTTTTGTGATGGATCACGTGTGTATCTTTTTCCTGTCTCTGCAAAGAGACGTTTGAAAAGACTCAAATGTGCTTGCAGGACCAAGGAGGCCACAGGCTTGGGAAGAAAGAGTTCTCAAACAAAAGAGTCCAGCTCAGGTTGGCATCCTTGGTGTGGGACAGAACCATCGATGCGAGGTGCATTTTTTGGATATTAAGGCCTTTCCATCATAGCCAGAGTGATGACAAACCAGCTAGCTGTGCTGCTTTCCCCAGGCACAACAGAGAACTGTCCCCATGAAGTTTATGCCCTGTCACAAACAAAAAGCAGCATTAGGAAATAATCTTTTCCTTGGGCAGAATCCAGGGAGGGGAGCTGTGGATACTCCAGGCTTTGCCCTAGTCCTCGCATGGGGGCTGTGCAGATGCTGTCATAGCTGAGTTTGTCGTTGGCCCTGGGAGGGGTGGGTAACTCTGGATGTTAAACAGAGTAGATTCGCTATTGCTTCTCAGTAATGACGATTTTTGGTCTTTGAGGGTATTTTAAAAATAATATTTTGAGAATTGGGAGCAAAATAATTGTTACATAATCCACCTGTTACGTTCAAAGTCCTGTTTTCCACCTGGGAGACGATTGCACTTTTTTTATTTTATGCTAGATCTTTGTGTACTTTTAGCCCCGCTTGAGTTGGCTTTATAATCATTACCTGTGTATACAGTCAGGTGCTTGACGAGCCTGATTTTGTGGAAGCTGCCAGCAGTGAGTAAATGAGCCATGTGGCATAAAACCGAGCAAACCATGTTTTGTTGGTACCTTGCGCTTCCCTCTTTCCTTGGAGCTGGTCGTACACACCCGCAGTGTCACCTCTGTGGGGGTCTGGGTTGTTCCAGTACAGGAACCCACTTGATCTGTTACCTGTGTGTGGTGTGAGGGGCGTGGTGGGATCTCAGCCTTTTGATTTTTTGATTTTAGGGCTCCTGGGTGCCGTTGCAACAAAACATTAAATCATTAAATCATTACCATGTGTTGTGTTGTGCAGAAAGTGGTGGAGTTACAGATGCTGAAGATGATGAACTGGTTTGAGCATCCAAGTGTGGGCGTGGGCTTTGCCTGAAGGATGCAGGAATTTGGGATAACCTGTCCTGCTCTCAGTGCCAGGGGCTTGGCACCACCAGTTCCCTGGCTGTGGACATAAGGAAAAATGGGGAGTGTTGGGCAAAGCTGAGCCGGAGCGAAGTTTGCAGGAGGAGCTGTCAGCTCTGCAAACGAGCATTGACCCCTTATCCTTACAAAGTCCTCTTAGGAACAGCACGAGAAGGTGGCTTTGGTTCAGTGGTGCTTTGGACTGTGGCAGTAGTGCTGGGTGGATTTTGTTTGCAGTTCAGGGGAGTAGCATGTAATTTGTGTAATGCTGCTTTTGTGTGCCTCTATTGCAAATTGATGTCTGGGGAATGACATGTAGCAAAGGCTCTAGACCAGCAGGTCTGTGATATTTTTGTAGCAATGTCTTTTTATTCAAAGCAGGTGTCATGGAGATCTTTCATCCCAGGATTTCTTTCATCCCTGGCGTTTGTTAGCTTGTGTTAAAACTTTAAATCTCGAGCATTTCTTCTGTACAGAAGGTGTTCCTCATGTTGCTCCTGCATGGGCTGAGCTGGGTGATTATGCAGGCTCCAAACAGCGACACGTATGAGGTGGCTCTGTGTCTGCACTGCTACGTCAGCTCTGGGAGCAATCCAGGGCTGTGGCCCAGTGCCCTCCAGTCACAGGAGGGGTCTGGCTGTGGGGGAATCTGGGAGAGGGCAGTGATGGGGGATGCTGTTCCTGGGCAGTTTTCTTCTGACCCTTAAGTATTCAGAAGGTAGTTTGTGCCCAGCAGTCCGAGCTCACATTTGCAGTCTTGTTTGGCCTTTACAAAGCTCTGAAAATGCTTTTTACTACAAGATGCCCTATTTGCTTAATTTATCCAAGCTCTTGTCTCAATAGTCTCCCATGATAGAAAATTCTGCTGGCTAATTGTTGCCTTTCACTGATCTTCTATTTCTTTGGTATTTGCCATATCTTCAAGATATGGGTGGATGTGTCACTAGAAGTTTCTGATCAGCCTTCTTATCCAGATTTACTGCTGTTGCCCTGGGGGAGGGTAGGACCACAGTCTTCTGGACCAACAGGGCTGGCAATGCTTCTGCTTGGAGCCCAGCTCATTAATTTAGGAAATCAGTTTTAACACCCCTCTGAATTGTCACTGTCATTACTGGGATCACTGTCTCTGTTTTCCTTAGGCTTGAGACCACGAGTGCCTCTGTCTTGAGGGAGCTTTGACTTCTGGGTGTCACCTTGGCTGGTGTTGCAGTGCCGGTCTGCAGCGTGTCATTGAAGCTGGCAGGAGCAGCAGGGGTTGCACGCTTGGCCTAGACACCAGTTAGGTTTTTTTGCCAACTTATCAGCTTTCTTACCTTGCTTCTGTAGGGTTGTGTTCCACAGCAGGGCTCCTCGTGCGCGGGGTGCGGGTTTGTGTGGTGAAGGTCGTCCTTCCTGCTCTGTGGTGGTCTCTGCTGGTGTCTGGAGCTGCTACACCCTTCTCCACCGAGTCTCTCTGAGAGAGAAGTGTCAGGATTTCTAAAATAAAGCAAAACAGCTGAGGAATTTTTTACCTCCCCTCTCTCCTGGGGTAAGGAGCTTCTCACCTGCTGAAACCCAAGCATTGTCACTGTCCTCCTGCCGTGTTGAATCTGGTGAGGAGGTGTCTGATGCTCTGA